TGACGCTGCGTCTGTGTCTCATTTCCCATGGTGGGGTGGGGCCTGCTGCTTGATGTCCAGTATTGTCTCTCGGGGTTTCTTGCTGGTGCTTCACTGTCCCTGAATTTAAGGGCAGGCTGCTGGTGTGTTTCACACCCGGAGTTATGGTTGCTTTGCTCTGCCTTATTGGGTTTCTGTTCCATTTCAGGGTGTTAAATGTTGATCACCAGCCATCCTCTGTGCTTCGAAGTCCTCCCATGGCAGCTATCGGCAGCGACTATCTCTCCAGCCTCCCAATCCCTGAATACCATCCTTCCTACCAGGTGCCATCAGAGATTCAAGGTAAGGAGAGCAGTGCTTTCCAAATCACCTATTCGGGCAACTGTACCAGCTTACCAGACCAAGACCTCAGCGCCCATGGCCTCCAAATCAGTTATGGATGATCTAACCCACAAAGGTACTTGGGCTGCTCTTTCGCCCAGCCTTGCAAGGCTTGGAGCAGCCTCATGACTGTTGCAGATCAGAGCACGTATCGTTGAATGGCAGAGTTCTCTTAGACAGGAAGCAGGAGCCTGAAGTACCAGCCCTGGTGCGAGATTTCTGCAGACCTGCAGGTGAGCGCCTTAGTGAGGCAGAATAATTGAAAACTGATGATTAGTAACAGAGGATAGAGAAGACTTAGCTATTCGCTGGCCTAGTGGCTAATGCTTTTCATGACCAGAGACTTCCATTCCTGGTCTTGCTCCTGTGGCTGCCATAAGGGGAAGTGGAGGCAGCCAGCTCCACCCTGGAAGAGTCGAGAGACTTGTGTCATTCATTGTAACCTCCTCAGACCTGATCTAAGATTGCAAGGCAATAGTTCACTGATCTAGAAAACAGCTTCCTGTCATCTGAGTCTCTCCAAGTTGTTCACAAAAATCACTCGCCATTCCCCACTGAAGGAGACCTTAAAATTCCAGCTTTACAGATGGGGACAGAGAGAGGTGAGAGAGAGAGAAAGTGACTTGCCCTGAGGTCGCACAGCAAGTCAGTGGCAGAGACAGGACGAGCAGTGTTCTAATTTCCAGTCCCACGCATAGACCACTGAGCACACTCCCTCTCCTCCTCCTTGGCTGGTGGAACACTTGCACGGTAACAGGCTGATGGCCTGTTAGGAAGCTTTGATAAACTAGGTGGTTCCTAGCTGTCTGGCATCAGCACACAGGGCATGGGTGTCCATTTCGGGTTGTACAAAAAGTTTCATTTCATCCTGCCGGAATCGGAGGAGGGATTTGAACCCACGTCCCCTCCCTCCTGCGTGAGGCCTAGAGAGTCTCTCTCTCTGGCCCAATGAATATTTAACGGTTTATGCAAAGTGGAACAGTTGCAACAGAAAAGACTGAGGGCAGCCCACCCAGAGTAGCCTGTAGCCTAGTGGGTGAGGTGCTCACCAGGGAGGGGGTCGATCTGCAGTCAGGTCCCTGCTCCAGAGGAGTGATTCTGTCTCCCCCATCCCAGGCAAGTTTCAGGTTGACCGAAACTGCATTTTTTGACAAAACCCCAAAAACCTCTTTGCCCAGCTCTAGCCCTGAGCTTTGTGACGCTAAGGACCTCGGGTGCATTTTTCTTTCAAAATGCACCCAACACCAGCATCTGGGCCATTCCGCTTTGGGACATTGCCTCCCTAAATTCCACCTGTAGCTTCTGTTTGTAGACATGCTTTGCACTCCCCCATCCTGAGCTGCTCGGTAGCGTTGCTGAGTGCTGTTAAACAGCTGCTGTGTTCCACCCCCGAGATGGCTGGCACTTCAGCAGTGCGTGATGTTAAGGATTCTTATTTAAAGTGAATCCTATAGATAGTTGGCAAATGTGCTCGTAAATTTTGCACAGTGATGCTGGGACTCGCACCCAATTTAAGGTTCCCTAACACTGTGTGAGAATCTAGCCCCCGATGTATTTCAACACCAAGGCTACATGATCAGTTACAGATGGCTTTGTAGCCCACTGGGGAGTGTGCACCAGAGGACCCCCTCTGGCAATCTACAGAGGATACTAGTTGTGACAACTGCAGCTACAGAGCCGTAGCTCGTTAGCTCAAGCTGTAGCAGCTTATGCTTTTAGCTCTGGAAGTCCCCACTTCTCTCCCTGGTGTTGGCCAAGAAGGCAGCCATCACAGTCAGTTACTGACCTACAGTATTGAGGTGGATCCGGATGTAACCGTCTCTAAAGAATCAGTTAGATCCCATCCCATTCGTTGACTCTTAAAATCTAGCACAAATTGGCTCCCTCCCCCTCCCCCATAAATTTATTTACCATTAAGATATTTTCCCCTTTTATTTTTCTAGGTCTGGATTTGTTTACCTTCCTTCAAAGTGAAAATCAGGTAAGGTTATGTGGGGGGCTCTCTCTCTCTCTCTCTCTCTCTCTCTCTCTCTCTTTTTTTTTTCCCCCTCTCCTCCCTGGTAAATCTGTAGACTAGTAACCCTGTCCTTTTCCTCTCAGCCAATCCTCCTCCTCCTCCACTGTAGCAATCTGGGCCTGATGTGTCCAACATTCACGTGGCCTCGCTCAGCCACATGCCTTTAGGTTCCATTGCTGTTGTCTGGAATGGTCCATGTGCTGTCTGTGGCTTGGAATGCTGGATTCTTGCTTTCGATACATGACTCTTCTCCTTATTAGCACCTGTATTCTCCACTCTGCCTCACTACTCCAGGTTCTGGAAGGAGGTAGGGCGCTGAGTTGAAACTATATCACTTACCTGCTAGTGAATCTAGACAAACTTGCAGTGCAGTTTAGAAAGTGGGTGTATTTTTTTTGTTAACCAGGGGCTGCTCTCTGCCTGCCTGGCATTTGATCCTTTCACAGGTGACTCAGGGCAGAGCTGGTGATTGAGCTAGCTAGAAATACCTTCTTCTGACTTAGGGGAACTTGAAGTGCCGTTTCCTTTCAGAGCTGGTACAACAGGTTTCTCTCTCTTTCCTGGGCCTCGTCTCGCCACCACTGCGTATCTCTTCTTCAGCTGCGCCATTCTAACCTGGCGTGGAGTTCCAGCTACAGCAAAGCCTAAGCTCTCTGTCGGGTTATACCAAATGGGAGGCAGCTGGCTCAGGTGAAGTCTTGGTAAACTGGTACAGTTCCCCCAAATCTCAGGAGTATCACTTGTGACTCTCAACTCTCTCCTTTCCTGCTGTTCCCTTTCCCCCTCTTGGTAGCGCAAGCAGTGAAATCTGTTGCTTTGCAGTGACGTCTGTTCCCCTTGCAGATCGGGCACCGCCAGCGCTCTAAGCACCGGAGGGGGTTTGGGAGGGGTTTGAATAGGCGCCCAGTCTAATGATTGATGTTCTGTTCCTTGCCCGGCAGCACTACAGCCCTTCCGTGATCACCTCCCTGGATGAACAGGACGCCCTGAGCCATTTCTTCCAGTACCGAGGCACGTCTACCCATTTCATGAACCCCCTGGCTCCCGTCATGGCAGGATCCCACAACAGCATCAGCCCCACCAGCGGCCGCATCAGCAGCATTGTCTCCACGAACACGCTGCGGGAGAGCCATGGGCATAATGGGACAATGAGTAACAGCGCAGCTCTCCCAGGCTGCAGGCCGGACATCATTTCCTTAGACTAACCCTAGGCCCAGGGCACACTGGCATCTCGGTTTACCCCAAGGATAGGAGAGAAAAGCAGATTTTCAGCAGCTGCTGTTGAGTTGGGCTTTTGTCTGGGATGGAAAGGACCCAACCAGTACCAGGTCTCCTAAGTGTCTCTCTCGGTCAGGGCAACTCCCCTGTTAAGCCCAACCTTGGAGCCTCGCAGGAGGGCTTTCAGTTCTGCACGCGTCCGCCTGAGCATACTGGTACCACTTGCTGGGGGGTGCCAGTGGTCGGGGGTAACCTCTGTTTTTCAAGACCATTTTAAAACTGTGTTTTTCACTTTATTTTTTGGTAGGATTCTGCACAAAGATCCTACAGTGATAATCCCCACCTTGATGCTGTACTGCTAGAACAGCACCATCTAGTGGCCAAAGCAGGACTTAGCAGCCATTCCCCCCCCCACTCCAGGATGTCACCCACCTTCTGCATCTCTTTGCAGCGCACCATTGCTGACTCCCCGAAGCGGGGTGAGGAGAGAAATTTGTCTGGGTCCAGCAACCCTCCAGGCATGGATGGAAGGTGGGTGGGTGTCTTTCAGGGAGCTGCCCGCTGCTTTTATGCACCAACACAAGCACTTTGGCAGTAGGGATTGAGCTGGATCTGGGCTCCTATGGCATTCTTCACTCTTTGATCCTCTTCTTTGCTCCCCTCCTTCCCTGGGGAGTCTGCCCTCCCACGCCTGGGTTAGAGCAAAGAGCTGGTGACTCAGAAAGGGGCTAGCAAACTTCGGCTTCCAGCTACCATGCTGTGCTGAGAACCTCTGCTGTCCCAGGGTTTAAATAACAAATGGGCAGGAAAACAGATGCTGTAACTGAGCCCTGATTCCAAACCCTATCCAGCAAATATGGACGTTCCCCAGCAGAGACCTAGCCACTGAGGGGAGGGTGAATCTGTAGCCTGCAGCACTTAAGTATTCCCATGAAGCAGGTGAGTAGTTGGGGCTCCCTCCCGCCTTGGCCTCAATTGTATGATCCGAAGCAACACCGTTGGGCCCCAAACTCAGCTCTGTTAAGCGAATCCGTTCTTCAAACCCCGGTGCAAACCTCTCGTGCTTGCAACCGAATGTGCTCGTAGGTGAGAACCAGAAAGAGAAACTGATTGATCCGTTTTCAAGGAGAAAAAAAGGGATTTTTTTTTTAAAGGTGTTTTTTTTTTTTTAAATGAACATGCTGTGGCGTTATGAGTGGCGCAGGAAAGGAAACGTTAACTTTTTAATTATGAATTCACCACCCACGGTCCTTTAAAATCAGACATTTTCCTGGCTGCTGTTTTAGTTTTGTGTCCTCATTACAATTTGCGCCCCCCCCCCACACTTTTTTTTTTTTTTTTGGTAAGAATCAAGACAAAAAGAGGCCGTTTGAATTGATGTCCCATCAGGGGCATTTACACGTGAGTTGATGCAGTTCTTTATTGGGATGCTAGAGGAGGCAAGAAGGGGAGGGGTTCTTGCTTGCAAACCCTCCTGCAGACAGGACAGTATCGAGCAGAGGCAGAGTAGGGTGACTGCCAGGGCTTTTGTCTCCCATCTGTCCCCTCGCGGGGGCACTGGGCAGCTCAGCCCAGGCTGTCTCGTTTGGAATTACGATGTCTTTTTTTTAAACTGTAGATTTCTTTTCCTCCTCCTAAGTATTTCCAGTACAGAGAACAAAGCTGTATCTGTATCTTTCAGTTGCAGCTTTTGTACACTCCAAACTCCAAAGACCTCCCTGTGTCTGTATCTCCTGAGGACGAAATGAAGGTCGTGTTGCCCCCGCTACCGCGCCTTGGCGGGGACAGCGCATTGCCTGCTGCCTGTTTTATTTATGTCTTTAAATGGATGCCTTAGTTTGTAACCTTTACAGCATCACAGCCGCTTCTTCAAGGGTCCTGCGTAAGCAGGGTCTCGCCAACCACCCCAAGCACCTACGGCCAAGTTAAATTCTTTTGATCACAATAGCAAGATTGGCACGTGAGTTCGATGCACCATGACATGGTCAAAATGGCACTCAGAAGGGTACGACGTGTAGCATTTTTTTGCACCTTTTTCCCCGCACAAGTGTCTCCATCAAGAACTTCAAAACGAACCTGGTTCCCTGTGGTTCTGGAGAAGGGTGGTCCGGGGTCAGGAGTCAAGTAGCTGTGCCCAGAATCCTGCTGTGACTTTACTGGCTCTTGTATCAGTTGTAGTGAATCCTGCTGAGGTGCAGCTTTACCTTGCATTCTTAGTTGCGCTAATCATTTTTCCTCTGTTTTGGAGAGGGACTACGTCCAGCTGATGCTGTTCCAGCTCTTCATTTAAAGAGCGGTCGGCTGGAAAACGATGAACCAACTACTAGTCACCTTCAAAATACCAGCCCTCAGAACTAGCTTGCTTGGTTCTTTTCACCTGGAAACCTCCAAGTGACAGACTTAGCCCTCTGTGAAACAAGGAGAATTATCCTTCCCCCACTTGTGTGAACTGCTTTGAAATCCTTGGTGGAGAAGTGCTAGATAGAGGATTTGCTTTTTGGAAAAATGGTGCTTTGAGAGATTACTGAACTTTTGCAAACCTCTTTCTCTCTGCTCATCTTCCCAACACCAAACTGAAAAGGGACTTAGGACCAGAACAAATGTACTATGTACATTTTCAGTGGGAACGTAATTGTTTGTGGGTTTTAAAAGTTCTGATGTTGGGGGGGAGGGGGAACAGACAGACCAGCTCCCAGTAAAGGTAGATTTCTATACATATTTGTAACCCTACCCATCTGTCCTTTGTACTGTCTCCTACCAAGATCCTCCAGGGCCAGTCGCAGGCTGGTCAACTCACGTGGCAATAGTGGCTCCACTGTACCCTTTGAGAGGCAGGTACTTTCAGTGTTACGTACAGGTGGTGGTTGAGGCAGCTAGAAGCTGAGGAGACAGACATTACGGTATTAAGCCTTTGCAGGGAGCGCTGGCTGTTTTCAAGTTTTGTACATACAAGTTGTTTGTGTAGAGGGTTTGTGTGGGGTGGGGGAGATAAAGGAGTGTCTAGGGTTTTGATACTGTCTGAAGTCCCTTAGTGTTTTATAAGCTCTCACACACGGTGAACATTATCTAGACACCTTTAAAAAGCAGCTAGCCACTTTCTCTGGTTTATTTATTCTGTCCGTTTGATATCCAGCTGTTCTATTATTTGCAACACTTCTGTATATGCAAACTACCTTTTAGATAATAAAGTTCAAAACACCCCCCACTGTGCTGGTGTCGGTGACTGGTGGAGCAGAGCTCTGTTCAAGCTGGATTTGAGCAGCTGGGACCTGGGGAGAAGGGTGAGTTAGCCCCATTTTACATAAGGGGAAACTGAGGCAGAGCCATGAAGTAGTCAGTGGGATTTCGGAATTGGAACGGGAGTTCCTTGCTTGCAGTCCTGAGCTCAAACCACTGACACATGCTGTCTCTTCAGTGCCCCCTTTGGCTAAGCAAGACACTTGGATGGCTAGGGCAGGGGCGTTGTTCTAATGTTACTTGACGTGTCTGTCCACACTCTGGCTTCCAAGACAGTGAATGCCCCCCCCGTCCTAGGCAGCCGGGGTTTGGCCTTAGTGCTGGCATTCCCACCTAGTCCATTCAGGACGTGCCTTCCCTTCATAAGGGGCTGCAACCACCTGTCGGTCGCTGCCTTCATAGGAGGGAGGGCCAGAGAGCGACCCCACTCCCCGCCTTCCCTTCCTGCTAGGGCTTGGAGCAGTGAGAAGGAACTTCATTCTTGGCAGGCCTCGGCAGCCTTGCTTGGAAAAGCAGGTCCGAGGGCCGGCGGTGGTGACGGAGCCGACCTGCTTCACCGGCCACTCAGCACTGAGGCGGCTGCTCCGCTCCCCAGCTGTCTGCCCTGCGGGGAGGCCGGGGCCTGGGATTTCGCTGCTCACTTGTCCCGCACAGCTAAGGTGTCTAGCCAGAGCCGCAGGGCGAACCTGGTCCCAGTGCTCACCCGCTCCACATCTTCCCCCGCTGCAGGTGCTGTGTTCAGGAAGGTCGCAATAGGAAGCTCCGTGGGCTGGGCCGAGCCCCCGCTCAGCTCCGTGGCTCTGGGTAGATCATCATGGAAGTTACTCAGAGGGGCCGTGTTATGGCTGGCAGCTCAGTAACGCGGAGCGGGGAGTGAGAACACGGAGCAGGCCTGATGCACGAAACACCCCCGGCGTGGCCAGTGAGGGCTAGTCACTGTATGGGCCGCTCCTTCCCGCCAGGCCAGGGCTAACTTCCCTGGCTTTAACTGAAGGAAGGCTGTAGTGAGAGTTACCTACAGGGCAGCTTCCACAGCCCCCTCCATGACTGCACTGGAACCAGGGCCCCGGCCCCTGCCCCTGCTTGGGGGGCGGTACCTGAGACGGGTAAAGCCCACACCCAGCAGGGCAGGTGCTGTGGCTCCCTGGCCTGGGGGACCATCTAGCCCTGGGTGAACAGATGAGAGAAGCTGGGGGAAAGTTTTGGGGTGTGGAACACGCTCCCCTGAGCAGCGGTCCAGCATGGGGGCAGAAGAGCTGCTGCTGTTCAGAGACACCCAGCAGGGGGGCCAATAAAGGGCATTTCCGCCTAGGCGTGTTAACCCCGTGTCTGCTGGCCAAATCCCAACCTAGCCACTTCCATTCTGCCCTCCGGAGAGTCCTCTCCACTTCCCGTTGGGAAGTGACAATGCTCCTCCCCAGACCTGGCTGCATTTCAGAGGCGGGGGAGCAGAGCCCTGCCTCTGACCATGCAGCCTGTCTCTCCAAGTGAAGATCATCATTCCTCCCCTTCTTAGAGGAAAACCGCCCAGGCTGGGTTGGCAAATCACTCTCCTTACTTGATGGTTGGGGGGAGGTTGCTGGGCACATGCCCCATGTTCTCTGCTCCGTCCTCGACAGCCGCGATACACTCCAGAACGTGGGGTTCCAGCCAGGCGTAGGCGCTCACCTCGCTCCCGTCCGCCTTGATCCTCGTCTGAAATCCAACATATGCCTCTGAGGGCCGGGAGCAGGGCTCGGCACTCTCTGGGGCTTGGAGTCGCCGTGACTGATGACCAATGGGGTACGGGCAGGCCCGGGCAAAGGGCTGGGAGACAAGCCGCTAAGCCGGCTCGGAACCACAGTCAAACCTAAGGGACAGGCGCTGGTCATCTCAGCGGAGAAACCGAGGTCTGAACAGGCCCTGGAGGCTGAATTCCTCCAAGGGTCCCGCACGCCCAGGGCTGAGGCCCAGGGCTTGTGGCGCTGAACGTAGGAAACCTGCACGGCCGGCTCCCCTAAGGACGCCTTCAAGATGCTGAGGAGGGTGGGGTCTGGGGACACCAAGCCCAGGCAATGGATGTACATCAGGACACGTAAGAACAACTCTCTACCTAATCTCTCCCGACCATCTTCTCCGGGGCCGAGCAGTCCCCTCAGTCAGGGGTCACTAGTCACCCCCCAGCAACGCCCCCCAGCAGCTGCCTTAGATCTTCCCCACCCGTGCTCTCGGGGGCGCTCACCTGCAGCTGCCGGTGGCTCTCGGTGGAAAGCAGCAACAGGTACGCGACGACGTGGTGCCGCCTCGGCAGCCCTCTGCTCAGCGTGGGCGGGTACACGGACTGCGCAGACGGAGAACCAGGAGCTGGGATTCGGCAGCCCCGAAGGCCCGGCCCCGCCCCAGAGGCAGAAGCCGAGGGCCGGTGGCTGGATCCTGAACGCCCCCCTGCCTGAAGGCCTCTAGCGCACTTTGTGAAGCAGCGAAATGCAGCTGCCTCTGGGGACGGGTGCTGCAGCTGTTTAAACAGCGCCACTACGCGAGCGGCTGGGTCACGAGAGCAGGGCTGCTGCCCCGATTTTTGGCAGGGGGGAGGAAGAAACAAGCGTCTTAAATGGCCAAGAACGTTTGAGCCCTGCAGCAGTGCCCGTAAGACCGGCCGTGCTGGGTCAGGCCAAGGGTCCATCTAGCCCAGGATCCTGTCTTCCGACCGTGGCCGGTGCCAGGTGCCCCACAGGGAATGAACAGAATGGGGCAATTAGTGAGTGATCCAGTCCCAGCTTGTCGTACTCAGAGGTTTTGGGACACCCAGAGCCTGGGGCTGTGTCCCTGGCCACCCGGGCTAATCGCCATCAATGGGGGACTAATCTCGCTCTCTTGAACCCAGCAATGCCTCCTTCCAAATCCTGGGACGGGGTGACTCAGTGCAAGCCGCTGCAGGGAGTGCTGGGGATTCAGGAGGGGGCCCTCGACCCCAGCCCCATTCGCTGCACCAGGTCACGGCTGCGCGTGTGGCTAGCGCTAGGAGAGGGTGGGAAGTCATCGCTCCCTAGTGGCTGATCCGCAGAGGAAGCTTGAATCAGCTACTGCTGCTGGTTGATGGATGTGGTCCCTTCACCCCTCCCCGCCCCCGGAGAGGTTCGCGCTTTGAGCACGGACCATCCCAGGCTGGGGCCTCTCCGGAACCTGGCGCGTGCCGAGCGGTTCCCCGTGACCCAGGTCAGGAGAACAGGACATTACCTCCCACAGGCCCAGCATCGTCCAGGAGAACCTGCCCGGCTCCAGCCGCAAGCCTGTCTCCTCCTGCAGCTCCCGCAGGCCCGCCTCCAGCAACTACGGTCAAGGGACAGCGAGGTGAGAGCCGGCCCGGCACAGCCTGCCTGCGTCCTACGTTCCGCAGCGCCAGGGGCTCTGGAATCCAGCCTGGTACCGTGCTGCGCCGTAACAGCGCCCCCTAGCCGCAGAACTCAAGAGCTTCACAAGCCTCTGCATGCTAAGCTGGCACCCCACTTTACAGATAGGGAAACCGAGGCACCGAGAGGGGAAGTGACTCGTCCAAGGCCACGCAGCTCCTACGTGGCAGAGTCAGACCAAGAACCCAGAAGCTCTGATGCCGTCCCTGGCTCTAAGCAGCGCCTACCCCAGTTCCCATTTGAAAATCCCAGGGAAAATTACACTACGCTCAGCTTTATCCCCCTTCCCTTCCCTTCCCCATGTAGGCACAGAGACCCCCCCCACACCTGCTGCCCCCCACCACTCGCCCATTCAAACCAACCCCACTGGCATCCGCACGGCATGTCAAGGCGGTACCTGTTCGTCCGGCTCCATGTGCCCACCTGCAAGGGGAGAGATCGGGAGCGGTAAGCGGCACAGTGAGCAGGTCCAGCGCCCCCTGGAGGCAACGGAGATGCTCCCCGTGGCTGCTGCTGCTGGACCCTGGTGGTCTCACAGCCTATGGGGGGGTTGGAGGGAGGAGGACAGGGGCTGTCTTTGTTCTGGGTCTGTACAGCACCTAGCATCATGGGAACCTGGTCTGTGACTGGGCCTCCTGGCCGGCACAGATAACATACAACCCTAGCAGAAGAAACACTCCAGTCACAGCAGGGTCCCCCAGGGGTGGCTGATCTCCCGGCAGCAGCGTTTTCTCCCCCTACCGGGCTGGTTTAACAAAGGGCTCGGCCGTTTCACTTCCTTCCAGCTTCCTGCTGTTTAATTGTCTGCACGGCCCTAGCGCCTTTCACTGCAGGATCTCAACGCAGCTAGTGAGTTACACCCCAGTGCATTAGGTAAGGACAGCGGGGCGGGAAGGGGAGGGAGCCCAAGAGAAGGAAGTTGACTTGGCAAAGGTCACACGACAAAGTCAGTGGCAAAGCTGTGAATGGAACCCAGGAGTCCGGTCTCCCAATCATTGTCTTTAACCACTAGCCCACAACTCCTTTCCTAGGCCTGGGAATACGATTTAAGAGGCTCAGTTCCCAGTCTCCAACTCTTCCCTCTAAACAACCCTCTCCCCCTTCCAATGACCACAGAACTGCTCCCCGTCCATGGGCCAGGCAGGCAATTGACAGGAAACCCCAGCTAGACGCATCACCAGGTCCCCATTGGAGTGCCTGGGCTCTGGCTCGGCCATTTCTAAGCCAGCCTTGTCCGTGTCCTCTCACCGGGGGGCACCCAGATGTTGGGGAAGATGCTGAGATTCTTGGCCCTTCGCGTGAGCAAGACTCTCCTGTCAACGGACTGCAGTACGACAGCCACCCCCACGTCTACCCCACGGCCTCGGAGCGCCTCTGGCAGCGTGGCAGCCTGCCTCTCCTCCAGGTGCTTGATGGGACAAAAGGACGGTCTCTGCGGAAGGAAAAGGAGCGAGTATTTGGTAACAGTCACACCAGGTCTCAGAAGGGACTGCAGCTTCCCAGATCAGGCCCGTCGGACCTTTCATCCCAAAGAGCTCCACCAAGTTTCTCCGCACAGCAGCTGTGACATGCAGCCACCTCTGGGGTTTAACACAGCAGAGGGGTCATTTTGGGCCAACCCTTCTTGCTATGCAAAGGGCACGAGGAGCAGACAGGATCCGCAGCTGACGCAGGCAGTCGCCAGACACGCTGCGGCCAATATCACATACCCAGGCATGTTCCACACGGTGCCTCGGAGCTCAGAACAGCTCGACTTTCCTTGGTAAGGACCCTGGGCTAAGCCCCTTCCTCCTCCCAGAAAATGCACTGGGCTCTTGTATGTTAGTAAGTTACATGGCACCGACCAACCGGGGAGCGCTGAGGACTTTATAGATATTACTAGACTGTTCTCAGCTTGCAGGTGGAGAAACTGAAGCATAGATGCTTGCCCGAGGCCATGCAGCAAGGCAGTGACAGAGGCAGAAATAGAACCCAGGAGTCCTGACAGCACGTGTTCAGGTCTAACTACCCAAACACACTACCTCCCAGAGAGGAGTGGGGGACCCAGGCGTCCCGACACCCAATCCACTGCTCTAGCCGCTCCCTTCAAGCCTATCAGTTTAGATACAAGTGCCTCCCCGCAACATGTCCTGACCTTCAAAAGGATCCTGGTGGAGCCAGGGAACTCGCTGTCGGAAATGACAAACTGGTTTTGGTCCAAGCCGCAGCTGACCATCGCCTCGTCCTCGTGGGGAGCACAGAAGTGCCCGGTGATGCTCTGAGAGAGAGAGCAGGGAAATCACAGGCCTTGTCTTCTCAGCATGCTTCATGGGGGGCTCCCAGCCCTTTACACACATTACTTGTGGGCAACAGAGCCCAGCAGCTCGGGCAGGACCCTCCCCGCTCCAGAGGGGAGACTGGGCATGGAGAGGAGATGGGACTCAGCCAACTCAGGGGCAGACTGGAGACTAGAGACCGATCCCCTGCTCTAGCCACTTGCCCACATCCTCGCCCAGAGCTGAGGATGGAGCCCAGGAGTCCTGATGGCAGCAGGCGCCCCATTGACTAGACTCGGCCCAGGAAACAGACCGGGCTGTCCTCAGCGGAGCACAGCGCCCACGGCCTGAACACCTGCTCCCGCCTGCACGGCACCTCCCTTATCTTTGGCCTGCCCCTGCAGGGAGGAGAGGTTAATGGGGCCTCCGGAGTGAGAGGCGGCTGCCGGAGAAGGCCTCAGGCCAGAGTCCCTCATGGAGGAGGGAGCGCAAAGGGGTCGCTGGGTCCAGATTAGTGGCTAGAGAAGGGGCCTGGGCGCCAGGACTCCTGGGTTCTAGTTCTGGCTCTGTCACTAACCTAAACCACCCCCCTTGCACACCCAGCCCTCCCCCAACCTCCCTGTACACCGAGTCCCCTTGCACACCCAGCCCCCTCCCCAACCTCCTTACACACCCAGCCCTCCCCCAACCTCCCTGCACACCGAGTCCCCTTGCACACCCAGCCCCCTCCCCAACCTCCTTACACACCCAGCCCTCCCCCAACCTCCCTGCACACTGCGTCCCCCTGCACACCCATCCCATCCCCTTGCACACACCCCCACACCCAGCCTCCACCCCACCTCCTGCATACGCAGTCCTGTGCCCCCCCAGCCCCTCCTATTGCACGCCCAACCCTCCCCCAGTCCCCCTGCACACCCCGCTCTCCCCCCACCTCCATGCACACTCAGCCCCCCCCCCCCCCCCCCCAAGCGCCCCGCTGTGCCCCCGGGCCCGCACCTGCAGGAACCCGGCGCGCTCGGGCCGGGCGCTGCCCTTGGCCAGCCGCACCAGGCCCCGCGCCAGGCTCTCCATGGGCGCCGTGCCGGGGGAGCGCGGCCCTGGCTCGGGGACTTGCCGCGAGCGCAGGAAACCCGGGAGCCGCGGCGGCTGCAGGCCCCACAGAGGCGCGAGCCGGGCAGCGAGTGGAGAGGGGCGCCCCCTGCTGGCTGCTCGCCGTGCAACCGGCTCAGCCGCGGCAGGACAATCGGGGATCCCCTACCGGCGTTTCCAGCAGGAATTGGGCACATGCCCCCCCCCCCCCCAATCGCTGCAGCCCCTTGGAACCCGAATCTCCCCTTGGAGGTGGGGCGCGCGGACCCTGGCTGGGGCGGAACCCAGCATCCCAAGGAGCTGGGGGTGTTGCCCTCTGGAAGCGGTGGAGACCCTTCCCCTCCATCTGTTGGAGCCCTGTCCTGGACCAGGACCCCATGGCGCTAGGCGCTGTACAGACGCAGAACAAACAGCCAGGCCCTGCCACAAAGAGCGTGCCCCCATCTCAGTCTAAGTGCCTCCGGCGGTGATCCCGCTGCTCCCATTACACCTTCCTACCTTGCGCCTCGCCCCTGATGGCGGGCCCGGAAACCTGCCCACACGAGGGCCTCTGGTCCAGCTGGCCTGGAAGGTTTAGCAAGAGGAAAGTTTCTTGGTTCGTAAAAGTCTCCGGCCTGGAGATTATTACTCCTGCTAGCAGTGATGGGTGAAGCCTCCATGCTTAGGGCTTCTTGCCGCTATCCGCAGCCACTGGAGGGCAGATGGGATCTCACCCAGGTGCAGAGCTCCTGAGCTGTAGCTCACAAAAGCTTATGCTCAAATAAATTGGTTCGTCTCTAAGGTGCCACAAGTCCTCCTTTTCTTTTTGCGAATACAGACTAACACGGCTGTTACTCTGAAACAGGTTCTCAACCTGTGGTCCATAGACTATGTCTAAGGGGGTCTGTGAAAGGTTGTTGTTACACAGAACAGTGGTTTTCAACCCAGGGGTCCGCAGACCATGGCTAAGATTTCCAAAGGGGTTCGCACCTCCATTTGAAATTTTTTAAAGGTCCACCAATGAAAAAAGGTCAAGAACCACTGCCCTAGAGGACAGTGAAATAGATGCACTAGAGATAAACCTTGCAGGTAATAAAAACATGCCGGGCCAGCGCACTGTCTGAGGGGTTCAGCTGGCTCCGCGCTGTGACTAGATTGCCACTTATGCTCTGACGTTTTCCTCAGCCTCCTGCAGTCTTCTACCACCGTGTCAAGCATCTCAGCCATGGTGCGGCTTTGTCCGCACTGCAAGCAACAGGTGGGTTTACACGGAAACAGCGATCTCGCTGTGAAACCCTGGTGCAGACGAGGCACAGATTGTGGTCCCCCGGCTGGGCTCATCACGGACAATTCCAGACCTAGCAGGATCAGCAGAGAGGTTTTGCAAGGAACTTCAGACTCAGCGGAGCATCCTGGCAGCTGGCCAGGGGGGTGGCACTCTCAGCAGAGAGGTCAAGGACTGACCGGGTTATGGAGACCACACGCTGGCATGGCAGGTGTGTATGCGGAGTTGGTATTGCCCATGCCTAGACTGTAAGGCAGAACTAGGGAACTGTAGTCTCCTAAATTGTCCAGCTGGCATCTTTCACCAGCCCCAGAGCTTTCTGGGTGAGGTTCTCAGGCCTGGGCGACCAGGGCTTTTGTACCACCTCCAACTACCCCCTACGTAGCTAATCAGCGCAATCAGTGTTTTATTTCCCCTCCAATCAATGTTAAACATACAGTTAAAATAAACAAAAATGCAGAACAGCTGTCTGCAAACTCCCCTCCCCGCAGGAAGCAGATAGTTCCACCCAGAGGGCCATGACTGGAGTGGTGAAAGGGACGCAGTCTGCCAGCAGGGGGCGCCCTCACAGCTTCTTCACTGTGCTTTCAATGTACGACTCCAGCACAAAGATGGTCTCGTCGACTTGATTCTCGCTGGCGTCGATCCTGTGATTTTACGGACAAGGGGAGGGAGAGCGTCACAGGCCGAGCAGCATGTGTCAATGCCGCCTTGTGCTTAGCGGGAGCCTCCCAGGCGAGCAGTGCAAAGCTAGTTACTAACAGTCATGCGTTAATTCACAGCCCCGGGCAGTGGGGAAGTAGCGTTGTCCCTGTTGTTAATATGGGGAACCTGAGGCAGAAGGAGAATGCAGCTTGCCCAAGAATAGAACCAGGAGTCCTGATTCCCAGCCCCCACCCTGCTCTGATTACACTCCTGTCCTGTCCTGTCCTCTCCCAAAGCCAGGTGTAGCCCCCAGGAATCCTGATTCCCCATCCCCTAGACCAGCCGGCCCAACCCTCGCCATGGCTCCGCTCACTTGTTGACGTTGCGTTTGAGGTTCTCCAGCTGCTGGCGCTCCGGGGCTGTGATCATCTCCTCGATCTCCTGCAGCTGCACCTCCTCGGCGCCCGTGGCCTGCATGGATGCTAGGATGGCCTCCACCCGCTGAGACTTCTCCAGCAAGCGCCTGGGGGGCGAGGCAGACAGCGTTCACTGAGCGCCGGCGAGACGCTGAAGCCCGTTCCCATCACTCAGGTTTGGGCTGACCGCGTTACTCACAAGGGGCCAGATCCAATCTCGGATCCAGGCAGGTTCCCTCCTGCCTTCAAAATCCATGTGTCTCCCCCACTACCTCGCCCCACTGTCCTCCTCAATAACATCTCCTCCTTCGCCCTCCCCTTGCCCATTACCCCAGGGCTTGTCTTTATTCCTTTTCCCCCTGCTACACTGCAAACTCTGGGGGCAGGGGCTGCATTTGCAAAGCATCATGTGCACCAGTAATGCCCGTGGCTGTGCCAGACGCACCAGGGCCTGTCTCGGCAGGGGCTGTTTGTACTGATGCAGCTCCCAAGAGTGGCGAACTCCCCCTGCAGATCCTTGCACCCAGGGCGCTTACCTCTATTACAAAGCTGGAGTGAACCACATTGGCTGAAACCCTGACTGGGGCAGCGCGGCTCAGGGGTGTGTGTGTTTGCGTGCGCCTACCCAACATGGACGATATTTCTCCTTAACCGCCCCTCCCTGCCAAACAGTTTTCATTGCCATCCATCTGTTTATCTTTGACACTTATTGGGCACCAAGACCCAGGTGCTCAAAGCTATTTAGGTTCCTAACTCCCTATGGTAGCTAGGCACCCAACTCCCTTTGGTAAGCTCCTCTAGTTACAAAGCCCATGTCAGAGGTCTAAGCTGCTTGACCCCAGCATGATGACTCGGCCCAGGAGCTTTCGGCCTGCTTAGCGCCACTCACTTGTTCTCCTTGGTTTCGTACTGTCGCCTTTCAATCAGGTTGGCCACGCTCTAGGGAATGGAAAGAGAGGAACAAGAAGCAGGGTTTTGGGGGAGGGATACAAAGAAACGACGCCATCTGATTGTGTGCTTTAATCTCAGCCAAGAGGGGGAGTGTGGGCGGGAATACTGGGCCCCACCACTGGCTCCCCCCAAGCCTGCCGATAGGTCCTCTGCGCCATGAGCCGCGAAGATGGGCAAAATCGGGGTGGGGGATGGATTTTATGCATATGCTCCCTGCTCCGGCTCTGGTCTCTCTGCAGCTAATTCTTGCGCCATTTACAGGGCCTGGTGTGGAAATCCACCTCACTCCTTGCTACCTTCACGTGCCATTGCTGGGGACGGTGTTAAAGGTAACAGATGCATCTGAGAGGGTTTATCACCCACCCCGAGTATGAGCCTCTACCATCCTGTGGGACGTGCAGCCTTGTGCTCTGAGCCCCTCTCATAAGCTAAGCAGGGTCAGGCTAGGTCTATCCTCGGATGACAGCCTTCCACAGCAAACAAAGACCAAGCAGGGAGTGATGACTGCATGCCTCCTTCTGAACTGGCCCTGGACGCAATGGCCAAGCGCAGCAGCAGAAGGCACTGTGCTGCGAGCGGTTTCCTCTGTCAGCTGAGATCCGCTCTCTGTGGTCACTAAAGATCCCATCATGCTTTCTCCAGTCACCAGGGCACTACCATCACCAGCCTCCTGGCCAGGTGTGAACTTGCCGAGTGACATTCTGCCTCCCTACAGTTCTCTCTGCCGGTTCAATGGAATGCTGGACTTTCCATTTCCTGTCCTCAGTGCCTGTGCAGGGCAGCTGCGCACGATCAACCCAATCAAGGGGGCTGTATTTCAGTGGCTGAATGATCCCCGTGTCACTTTTCCCATCCGTCGGTAAATCGATAAGGGATGAAAGGGGCCAGGATGGTCAGCCCAGTGACTCTCCGCACCTGGGAATGTTGCTCTCCATATTGCAGAGTCCCCAACGACACAACTGCTGTTGTGGTGACGCGGAATCAGAGAGAGGGAATAAACCGAAGGAGTCCAAGGGGTGCGAAGGACACAGTGTGATTTGCATGAGCATCAGTGTCAGTTGGATGGCCAGGGAATTATCGGGTACCTTATAACACCGGTGCAGCAGCATCCGTGCAGAGGACAGAGTGTTCACTGTGTACAGATAGAACGTCCTGGAGGGGGCATGGTCCGGAGTCTTTGGAATCTCCTGTTTGCATGCAGGAAGGAAGATTGTAATATATGTGTGACCTCCCCAGAGGGCTGTATCTGTCTGTTCTCTCTGTGTGCTCCTTTCTAGCTTCCCCCAGGGACCCAGCGATCATCATTCTTTGCAAAGAGAGAGAGAGGGCGCGTGGGATAGTGGTGTGATCCTGACCGCTTACATCCCTAGCACAGCACCACCAATAACTCGCCATGTGATCCTGGGAAAGTCACTGCACCTTTCCAGGCCTCGGCTCCCCCAGCGGCAAAATGCAGGGAAGGGCATTTGCTGGTGACAGCCTGAGGACCAGTGCTTGGAAACTGTCCAGTGACACATATTTCCAGTTACTATTCTTTGTTAGTAAACCAGGGACGAGCAGGGGGATCCAATAGCTAGGGGAGAACAACTGAGATCACAAAACACTTTACAGATATTAATGCAATCAGCTTTCCACTCCCCTGGGAGACAGGTTAACACTGGATCCGTTGTCCAGGTCTATGAAAATGGAGGCAGAGAGAGATGAATGACCTAGTAGTTCTGATTCCTTTGTTCTAATGCTAGGCAACACTCCCTCCCAGAGTTGGGAATGGAAACTAAGATACCACCCCACTGCTCTAACCACTAGACAACGCTCCCACCCCGCAGCTCAGCATGGAAACCGAGAGTTCTGACTCCCAGCTCCCTGCTCTGATGGGGATGCAACCCAGGATTCCCAGTCCCCTGCTCTAACCACCTTCCTTCATCTGCATTCATCTTTATGTTCTGTATGCCCTGTTTGTGACACACTCTGCTCACCTCTGGGTGACAGCATGAATAGAAACTCTCACCTGTAGGGACACAAAGTTCTCCGATAGCATTTTATACAGCATGTCCTTTGCCTCCTTGGCAGGAATCATGGCAAAATCTTCCACTTGTTTCTGTTCCAAATGCTTCTTCCGCAGAAGCAGCCTGAATATCCTTGCGCAACGGGAACCAAATCTAGATGGGGGAGGAACAAACCAACTAACATACAACTCTGGGGAAGAACATCAAAACCTAGACCCGCTGCACAGGAACATCAGAGAATTGAGAAGGTTCCTACATTAACACTTCAGAAGAGAAAAAGCATCTTGTGTGTGTTGAAGATGGAATGAAATCCTGATTTCAGAGCCACAGGCCCAAACCAGATCAGACCACTGGTCCTTTGAGTCTGGTACCCGGTCTCTAGACCAGTAACTGATGCTTTAGAAATACATGCATGAAAATGAAATGTGTCTGAGAGTTAATCATGCAGATGTCACTAAATTTTCACTCAGCAGTGTTTATTTCCCTATTCATGAAATCCAGGCTAGCTAAAGAGGGAACAGGCTGCCCAGCAGAGACTGGAGAATCTCATCATAACTAATGTCACCTTCCTATCTGGTACCACCCAGGAAGCCTCGAAACCATGAATACTTTCAACATACAGCTGGATAATGTGGGGCCTGATCCTGAGATAGATCAGTCACTAAAATTGATGGGAATTGGGAGGGAGCTTAGCACCTCTCAGGATTGGATCCTTCCTTCCTCTCTCCCTCTTCAACGAAAGGACGGAGATTGCGGGTGAAAAAGGTGCAGCTCTGCTGTTTGAGGACTGTTGTAGCTCTGTGGGATATGGACAGACCAGGTGGGTGAGGTAATCTCTTTTACTGGACCAGCAAATATTGGTATGGCCTCACCCACCTTCTCTCTCTCTCATATGTATGCCTTGGGCAGAGTAACAAGGGGGCTAACAAGCTACATTCAAACAGTTGCTTTACCTCTCCTGTACGATGGATTCCAATGTAGCTGTTGCCAAAGTCGCGAGGGCCTTGTGGAGATCTGGGCAGTGCATGTCAAGGTACCACACATGAATTACCAAGGATCTCACAAGGTTCGGTAAGCCCCGGGACCAGCAGTAAACTGCCCATAGTAGATTTCTCAGTAAAGGATACTGATGACATACATGCCCCCGCCACTGTCCCCGGATTTACCAACAAACTCCAGCTACAAGGAAATAAAAGGGTTAAATGTATACAAAGACTATTACAATTTTGATATAAATTGAATACCATTGGG